CCAAAGAAATGTGCAGTTTCGCAATTATTTTTGACCAACATGTTTGCTGTTGTTTGTTTGCAAAAGTGTTGAGCCACCTCTCATTTCTTTATTTTGCTTCTAAGAAGCCAGATTGTGTGTTTTTTCAAAATAGTCTAGAGCAGTAGTTTACTGCCTCTCATGGACATTGGCTGCTTATTTCCAGTCCAGTCCTTCTATCTGACCATTCTGAGAGGATTAAGGGTTTCTCTGTGTGTTTGTTTTTCGTGTTAAGTCTTTTAACAATGACTTATGAATCATTCATGCATAAAAAAGGCACCCACCTTAAGAGATGAACCAGCGTTGTGTCTACACATGACAGACCTCTTAGCAAAGAACCAATTTTAAGTTGTATCTTCAGGCGCTTCGTTACTAACAGCCTGTTGCAAAAAGTGGTAATTTGTTCCAATTTCTTTAGCTGAATCTATGAAAAATGACAAAGATAACACAGTTTGACAGCCATAACATAATATTTTTGTACTAACAGGTTATTTCTAAAAAAAGCTATTAGCTGACTGTTTGGCATAACAGTATCTGAAAGTCATGTTCTGGAGAAATAGGGGGGAAAAAAGATCATAGACCTGGCACAGGAACTGAGAGATGTATCTGGCCCTTCAGTTGATCCATCTAGTGTTCACTGAAGCCAGTGAACAGAAATGGTCTCAGTGGGAGGGTGGCTATCAAGAAGCCATTCTTAGGGTAGGGAGAAAAGGTTGAGATATGCAAAATTGCACAAGAACTTGACTGAAAATCAGTGGCAACAGGTCTTACGAAGTGATGAATCGAAATTTGAAATTTTTAGGTTAAATTTGTGCAGAAGAGGTCAGGGGAGAGATAAAACAGTGAGAGTCTGGAATCATCTGTAAAACATAGTGTGGGCTCTCTCGTGGTTTGGGGCAGCATTTCAGCCAGTGGTGTTGGAAATCTTGTCCAGATTGATGGAATTATGAACAAAAAGTACCATCAGATTTTGAGCCACCATGCAAAACCACTAGGAAAGCATCTGTCTGACAATGGCTTCATTTTTCACCATGTCCCTAAACACACTGTCAATGCAGGAAAAGCATAAATGCATTAAAAACACACACACAAAGGAACACCATTAGTCATGGATTGGTCTCCCCAGAGGTTCAAGAAGCCTGCAGAACTATTCCTACAGATTACTTTAAGACAAGAAATCTTGCCTAAGAGAGCTCAGGCTGTGCCTGATCATACCAAATATTGACTTTCAAGCTCATAACATACTCCTGTGTTAAACTGTCCACAAATGTTCGCTTGTTGTTGCATCCTTCGACGTTTGAGCGCAATAAAATTGTGTATTTAGATTATTTATTTTTATATTGATGCAGCCCTTTAATGAGCCCTCTCCTCTGATGGATAAACAGCTTGCTTGTAGTGGAAAAAAAGCTTAAGTTAAAAGGGGTTGGACATTTCATTTTACAGCATTCACATCCAAAATTAGAGTGGACTGCGGTCAATTGTCCACAGCACTGTAGAGGTGAGGCAGGTGAGGCTGAGGCACCCAGCAGTGCTTCTGCACCCAGCAAGGGCAGTCTTAATGAATAGCGAGATAAATGATAAATGTGGCCATATGGTGGAGCCGGCTGGCCAAGACAGGGGTGCTAGCAAGCTAAACACGCACACATTCACACATCCTCAAATATCTCGCTTGTTAATCCGTACCTAGAATTGAAGAGCCATCAAACTGCATAACTCAAGATAGCAGCAGGTAGGGGTTAAGGACCTCTAGGCTCTTTGGATAGATGGGGGTGTTACGGCCGACTGTGAAATCATCACCGCACTTCCTGTCAAAAAGTTTTACAGAAATTCGAGCGAGGACACAAACTGACTGCGCGTGAGGCAGACTGTCACTCAGCAGCAGTGACTTTTTAATTACAAGCATTGTATGTGCCTCACTCATAAATGCAGGAAGTCTTCTCAATTTATATGTGCTTCTCTGGTGATTTGCTGTGTGTGTGTGTGTGTGTGTGTGTGTGTGTGTGTGTGTGTGTGTGTGTGTGTGTGTGTGTGTGTTAACTGAATCAAAGCAGATGAAGCCATATGCTGTCTGTCATACTTTGTAGGCAGTCACTTTCTTGTTTCCTCTCGTCTGCTGTATACAATACTCCTCTCTCATTACTATTCAGCACGCCACATGCTCATATAGTGTAGCTACACAAACACACACACGCACTAACTAGCCTACAGATACACCCACACAAACTTTATTCCCACACATAAACTCAAACACAGTGAACAAGCCATTGTTCTCCTTTCACAGCAGATGCTATCTCTCTCTAATTGGCTCAGCAAAAACAAAGGAAGGGCCTTGGATGCCCCGCTGCAGCTATGCTCTTCCAGTCTACAGGGATGTCCTCTGCTGGACCAACACACATACAGGGTCCTTGGATATGGCTGACCTCTGCGCTGTGTAAAGAAGGCCAGTTTCTGATTACATGGCACAGTTTCAGGGTCTGTGATGAATCAGTAAGCAGGCAAGTACACTTCAGTTCAGTGCACTTTTGAAACACAATATGAAAACACCCTGTGGGTTGCCAAGAATGCTCCAAACAATCGAGGTCCCCTGAACGCTACATGCAAATGGCGATTTGGAGGCTGAGCATCACATCACAGAATACGCAATGTTTGGTCAAGCCATTTTCTCATCAAGTGTGTTTGTCAAAATCCAGAACTCCTGCTCAGATCTCGCCCCCAAAAAGTTTACACCAGTTCTGCCAGTGCAGCTTCACACATAGCTGATGGGCGATAAGCCTTCACTGCATGCAATCCACAGCTGTCAAACTTCCTCAGTGTTGTGAAACACAGAGAGAGAAAAGAATAAGCGGGGTAAGTGTTGGTGCAGTTTAGTTCAGCACTGTGAAATATGACTGTACTGCTGGTATCATAGATCTTAACTTTAACTGCAGTAGTGCAGTGGTACTTGATGGGGTGTTATATTGCAGAGAAAAAGATCAGAGAGAGTCTACTGTGACCTACCATCCACACACGTTTCACTGGTGATTAATAATAGGTGAAATTGTTCTTTTTTGCCAAGAGACAAAGATGAATGTATTCTGCATACCTTACTCTCTACTATTTCTATATCAGGCATAAAGACTGTAAAAGACAACTGATTAAGGGCCCAGCCTTCAGGCACATTACCTCCACAGATGCTGCCATTCGCTGTAATCACTCGAGTGCCTAACGCACGGGGACAAATGACATAAAATCACAAGAAACAGCATCCCCTTCTGGCAGAAAGTGTGCATAGCAGGCAACTGCTGTTGGTTCAGACCTCGTGGTTTCATCAGTGCAGATTTATTGAGAGCAGATGTTTATATGAAAAACAGACATGAGAAGATCAGCCGACAACAAACCGCAACTGCAATCAAAAAGACACGGAGCAATAAAGCACCATGGCTCCTTTACAAGACGTTTTAAAGAAGGGACTGCAGCAGCTGCAGCAACAGTTTGAAGAGGTTCAAAGTCCCGAGAGTTAGAAAAATTTATTAAGGACCACACAACTGATTAATACTTGTGTTCTCCTGGTCTGGTATTTTTTCCCCATTCTTTCTGCTGTTGTTGTTTGTTTTCCCACCAATTACGTGGGCTGAAACATAAATAATTCATGCAGCACTTAAGGATGAAAACACAAGACTGATAAACAACAAAGCAACTTCAGTCATCACTAATTCAGCATCTGCTAAATGCTTTTTCACCACTTCTTATGCCACTCAGTCTGATTACAGGATGCTTTCGTCAGCATGTCGGCGCATCGCATGTCCAAACAATCCACGATTAGATTCTGTCTTCTATTCCTCTCCCTAGCTTCAGTTGCTAATTTTAATTCAAGCTTTCTTCATGTTCCAGTGACTAATACAGCTTACAATCAAATGTAGAGCTAATTAGATTTTTCAAGTGACCATTATTTCTATAACATGTTGTCATAGAGCTGGTGCTTGCAAACATATCCCGAGTGCTCCAAAAGAGGACTTAATTTGGGCACTGAACTAGCACATGCATAATAATGACCTTATTTGCATATATTATGTCAGTCTGTTTAGTATGTTAATGCTTGGTAAACTTCTGGGCTTAATCGTTCATCTGACATTCTAATTGGGAGTTTGTGAATTGGTTACATTGATGCTCTCACACTTTTTATTCTTCTGCCAGGTCTTGTTGGTTCACGTCGCAGCCAAACAGCCTCTAGTCCAGGGGTGGGCAATCTCAGTCCACGAGGGCCGGTGTCCCTGCAGGTTTTAGATCTCACCTTGGGTCAACACACCTGAATCACATGATTAGTTCGTTACCAGGCCTCTGGAGAACTTCAGGACATGTTGAGGAGCTAATTTAGCCATTTAAATCAGCTGTGTTGGTTCGAGGACACATCTAAAACCTGCAGGGACACCGGCCCTCGTGGACTGAGATTGCCCACCCCTGCTCTAGTCCTTCTCGACCACGAACAGAGCAATGGATTCACCAGCTTCAGAATATATTTGACAAACTACAGATTTTCATGTTTAATTCAATGTCAGCATAGTGATGGTGCTTCTTTTGAAAGAAGTTACGAGGCCGGACTGCAATCCTAAAGCCCTCAACATTTTAAGGGATTTGACAAGATAATAAATGGCTGAAGCGTATTGTTCTGCAGGACACTGCGCTCTGGTTTGTCCGACGCAGTACAGTCAAACAATATATAATGACCTGAGCTGTAACCTCATTTGCTTCTGCAAGAATACTAAGGTAACTGTAAGGTAAAACATAGATAACACAAATATTTAAGAATAACCAAGTGAATAAACTAATTTTAACAATTATCTTTACAGCCCTTTCCCTTTTGAAATGAATACAATGATGTTAATATATATTTTAAATTATTACAGACAAAAAGTAGTAAAACAAGTTTATAAACTCATCATAAAGGTTTGTAAATACTAGTTTCACCATGGATTAAAAACACACAAAAATATGACTCTTAGATGTCCAAGAAAGGCAATGTAATATTTTATTTATAATACAGTACTTTGTTAAGCCAGCTGTACTAGCAAGCACAGTGAGCTATGAAACTTCACTATAATAAAAGCACTCACAAGCTACACTATAGTATAAACAGGAAAGACACTGAACAGCCTAAAAGCTCCGTGTAATCAGAGAGCAGACCATGTCCTCCCCTCAGCTCTCATTCACAGCGTGTTGTTGCATACCGGGGAAAATGTCCAGCACTATAATTAAATGCACCACAGTTGAATACAACAAGCAGACAAACTACTAATAAAAGATATTTTTTAAAAAACCAACAATAAATGGAAATTTATAGTCTTACAGAAAATATTTAGAAACACTTTTCCTTAAAATAGTAAGTATTCTTTATACTAGATCATATATATGGCTTCAGAGATATATATAAGAGTAAACATGTGTTATGTTGGTTTTTTTCCTCTACCGCTGTCAGTCATGCGACCTTGATCAGCCTGCATAATGGACTCACAAAGTTGGAAGTCAGTCACGTGTCACCCTGGCATCCTCCTGCAGCAGCCTGTGAACTCAGCCTCTTCAGCTCCTGCCTGCTTGCTGCACTCTCAAACCTGAAGCCCTCTATGACCAAGGTCTCTCCGTCCTCCTCTATGCTGGCCCGACACTCCTGCTGATTCTGTCACAACAACAACAACATGCACACAAGGCTGTGCTGTGCACACTATGCCTCAGCACATAAAATAATAACAAGGTCATTTGTGCATCCTTTGTGCTTTGTTAACAGCTGCAATAGACAGAAGCTGCGCATTCATTTATGTGTTTTCTAGTGTGTGTGTGCGTGCGTACACACACTATTATATCTGTCCTGTGAGAAAAATTATTTATAGGGAGTCCTCACTCCTGCTAATTAGGTTCTAGAGGTAGAACCCTGGAGCTCAAATTTTATTTTTGTGAGACTGAACAGTCTCTCATGGATCGCTGGTCGTCTTGTTTCCTGAAACGATTGGGCCAATCGTTACATTTGTAGGTGGGGCTGAGGCTGGCAACACGTGCGGATGAAATTGATGCAGCTGTCAAGGCTGCTGTAAATCTACTCACTGAAATAACAGCTCCTAAATCAGAACGACATGCATTAAAGATATTATGGTTTAGCAAATAGAATTCTTTTTCTGATTCTGCCCAGTGGTTCTGGCAAAAAGTTTTATTTATCCGTCACCCCCTGTGGCACTTTGGGAAAGAGGTCAGGAGGGTCTAGTCTAGTGCTTAGAGTGCATGGATGGAAGACAATGTAAGAGATGTCCAGAGGCTAAGCCTAAAGTGAAACTAAATGGACTGAAACGGTTAACGTCTGTGTCAAATATATTTTATATTAATGGCAATTCAGATTTACTTTGCATATCCTTTTCTTGCAGCTAAGAAGAGAAATTAACTGGGTTGCTATGCAACTATAGGGAACTCATAACCTGACCACTTGTGACCTTGTTATAACAGAAGTATAGTATCAGCTTCATTAAGTATGATAGAGACAGGATTAAATTAATTAAACAAATAAACCCATTTAAAAACAGAAAGACAGTGGGTTAGAAACAAAGAAGACAAACATTATGTAAACTCAGCCGGGTAAGTTTCCTCAAAGGAATATGGTTGAGATTTGACAAATAAAAATACTTGATTCTGGGCTGACTGTGGTCTGCAGCACAGTCACGTGGTTCACTGTAAACATACCATTCTTTGCTGTCTCTGGTTGGAGAGATCTAACGATGCACACCAATTCATCATCTCTTCAATGTCTCTCATAAGTAACTGAGCTTCTGACAACACTGTAATGACATTGATGCAAATACTCAATAATAGATACCACTACTAATACCCACAATGCTTTTACTAGTTGATTTTTAACAATTTCACTTCGGAAGTCTTTCTAGTCTTACTGACCACTCAGAGCACTTTAGACTACAAGCCACATTTAATCATACAATCATGCAATGCTCTTTGTTCTGTACACTTTAAGCATATTATCTGCCATTCATCTCTGTCTAATTTAGGCTCATCAATTAACCTGACACACAAGTCTTTGAACTGTGGGAGCAAGTTGGAGTATGTGAGGAAACCCACCCAGGAATAGGGATAACATTCAAACGCCACAAAGAAAAAAATATGTAACTGTGTTAGCCTCAAATAAATCCTGATCTCATGGACAGCAAAGAAATCTTTATTTCAATCTAGTGGCCTGTAATAAAGAGAACTCTAATTGTGAGATGTATTTATGATACCACCTCCACTCACGCAGTTACAAACAACACTTGTGTTGCATTATGACAGTTAAATGAATCTTGAGAACATTTTCTTCTTCAAATCACAAAAAAACCCCAAATCTAAACGGATGTTTTTCTGAAAGCGAGTAAAAAATACTGCTAATATATGCTGGGCTTACGCTGACGTGTCTTTGCCATGGAGATCTCAGATTTCTCTTCACATGTCATGTCAGTGATCTTTGCAGCTTCTCTTACACTGCAAAAGACAACATAGCACTTTTAGGACATCTGTGATACAACTGAGCTGATACAGTGAACAGAGAAAAATATACACCTTAATAGTTAATAGGATAATGCACAGTGGAGTACGCCCAACTTCAGAAATCATGAAAACAAATCAGTTAGAAATAAATAAATAAATGGACTGGTACTTAAAAAGCACCTTTCTACTCAACACTTCAAGTACTACTGCAAGTCTCATCCACCTAATCACTCACACATTCGTACAGCAATTTTATATATGCCTAAGCACTTTATAACATTCACAAACACACTCTGATCATGAATCAGAGGTAACTTGGGGTTCAGTATCTTGCCCAAGGATACTTCAGCATGTGGGCTACAGAAATCAGGAATTGAGCAATCAGCTTTCCAACTGATAGATGGTGCGCTCTACCATCTGAGCCACAGCTGCCCATACAATATGTTGATCAAATTCTTATTTTAATCAAACATACACATATACTGCTACTAGCTTTAGATAAAACTCATGAGGGCTAAAACCAATGCTTCTCTCACTTTCCATAAAGCAATTTCAATGTTTACTATGGACCTATTTAAGGTTAAAACCTCTTGATCAGCTTGGCTTAGTCTTTCGGTATGCAGACTAACTAGATCTACTGCTTTAAAAGTATCATGTGAAGGGATTATGAATATCAACCTGTTAAGGCTTGTTATGTAAAACTTTTAATTAGCTGCACTAAACCTATAGAGAATGACTAATATTTAAGATACCTTCAGGACTACACCATCAACTTACCATCAAGTTACCATCAACTGCACTGACAAAATACAAACATCAGTAAGGACGGGCTGCTAGGCATTAGGGAATTGCTTTTTACTAGGTTAACTGCTTGTAAAGACATCACTTTATAAAGAAGTAAATATCGCTATAATTAAAAGAAACACCCACATATAAAAACATGATGTATGTCACAAACGAAAACTTAACAAAAGGTTATCAAGAACCTGAGCAATAAGCTAATGGTAAGGGCTACATTAGCGCTAGCAGCTAATCAGTTTTAGGTACTGTGACAAAAAATGAACCAAACCTGTGTTTTTGTTAACATTAAATATTTATTATTAGTATTATAACTATTTCATTTTCTTGCTTACCCGTTATATTTGGGAATTGTCACTGGAAGATAATCCTAATTTAGGCAAGTGGCAACTAAGGTATACCACAGTATAATGCGCAAAACTGATTTCTATACTGTCATTGGTTTGTCCCTTACTCGACCTTAAATGCCCCGGACCGTTACTGCAATGTCACTTTCTGACCAACAGATGGCACTCTTACAAATACCAAATCTGATTTGACCGCAATCGTACTTCGCGTTCCATACAGTGACGGCCTGTCCCGCATACAAGTGTGGAGTAATACGTGATTAGTGAAAAGAAGGGGTCGTTTGTTTGGTCTGCGTAGTAGAATAAGCTGGGTAAATGAAGACTGTATTTACAGTATTTGTTTCCTTTTTGCTTATTTTTCAAAGGAAATGGCCTTGTGACTTCTGTTATAATTTACTGTATTTGTCTTTATTGTTTTACATGAGGTATTGATTAAACTGAAAACCAACATTTTACAGTATTTTTGTTATAAGATTATGGATGGACAGTGCATATTTACGCTATGCCCAGCTGACTGTGCATTGTGCTATTTGATAGTTAAAGATTCGGCAACCCTAGCTATAACACTCGTGCTACTCGTGAAATAATTGCCTGTTCACTATTACCTTTAAACATGGTTCAGGGCATTACTTGTTTTCTTGCCTGTTTCTTAAGTCATTCTTTAGCTTAACAAGTAGTCCCTGTACTCTTTTGTCCATTTAACACAAAAACACACACACAATAGAGAGCTAATTTTTAATCAATATAAGGACCACAACAACAACATAGCTTGCCATCACCAGTGTGTGAATGTGTGCGTGAATGGGTGGATGACTGGATATGTAAAGCGCTTTGGGGTCCTTAGGGACTAGTAAAGCGCTATATAAATACAGGCCATTTACCATTTACAAGTAAAAATATGTGCCAAGTTTTAGCTTTATCTATTAATATAGTGCCATGAAAAATATACACACACTACCTGATTTCTTTCTTTCCTTTTTTGACATATCTGTGACACTTACCTGTTTCAGATTATATATATTGCATATTACAACAAAAGGTACCTGGAGCAAATACAAACCACATTTTTTAAAGAGTGATTTTAGAAGAAGAAGAAGAAGAAGAAGAAGAAGAAGAAGAAGAAGAAGAAGAAGAAGAAGAGGAGGAGCCACTGGGGGAAAAAAGTGGGCAGGTCTTTTTTTTCTTCTTTTCCAGAATTCTGTGGGGGAAAAAAGTCAGAATTCTAAGTAAGGTTAAAATTCTGAGATTAAAGTCAAAGTTCCATCAGAATTCTGAGAAAAACAAATTCTGGGGAAAAAGTCAGCATTCTGAGAAAGATTATGACTTTAATTTCAGCAAATTTTTGAGATTAAAGTGTGTGTATGCATAGACCACATGTGCATACTGTTGTACACATAAACTCACAGATGTATATGACAACTCAAGTTTGTGGCATTAAATTTGTATTCAACTTTTAAACACGTAATACATTTGTACTTGAGCATCAGCACATGAACTGATGGACAGACATTCTTCTTCGGGATTTTCTGGTAGAGAACAGAATTCATGCTTCCATTAATTACAGCAAGATGCCCAGGTCCTGAAGCGGCAAAGCACCTCTAGACCAAGCCCTAAATCTCAGTTTTTCAGATACTTGCAGCAAATACTTCATCATTTGATCGTAACAGTGTGTGAGAAAGTGCACACGCTCTTTAAGACTGTGCTTTTACTTTGAAAGGACTTGAGCAGCGGAGTGACTCCCGGAAGTTTTTGTTTTTCTCACCTGTCAGTTCGGTCGAGACACGGCACCAGTGCCGAGCCTTGTCTCTTTGTTTTCTCCTTGAACCAGCTCTTGTTTTTTCCAAATTAAATGACAGTCCTATGTGGTCAGTCGATACCTAACTGAGGACAGCGTTTAACACGGTAACTGAAAGTCGAGAATAAAAAATAATCGTCTCCTTTTTCTGCACCTAGCCAGGAGACGTTAGCCAAGCATAGCTAGCCGTTATCATCATAATAGATCAATCATTTTGATGCGCGTAGCTGTCGATATGTATTTATGTTTCTCTAAAGACCGTTGCTTAATTGTTGTGTTATTCTTATTGTTGGCTGTTTCACAACCGGACGTCAGGGTTGTTTGGTGTTTATCAGCACTGTTCGCGGAAGCTAACGGCGTAACATTAGCTTTGTATACACGCGAAATTCATTGATTGTTTTCAGAACGATTATAGATGTTTCCTGCTGTCGCTTTGTGTGGAAGATTGTGTTTTTTCAGCTGAGATAAGCTTTTTAGCTGTTAGCTTTCCTGTTTTAAGTGGAGAAGTCTTAACGGAATTACGTCGCTCTTCTTGCCTTGTTTTGGATTCACGTCCACTTTCGTTTTTAAGTACTTGTTGTGGGTCGCTTTCGCTTTCATGCCGACTGTCGTCAAAGTCAGCAGTTTTCCTTTTTCTCTCTATTTCTCCGTTTCTATTCATCTCCGCGGGTCTATCAAACTATTCGGTAACTCTGCTTAAACTTATTTTTCTAAAGGCTTAGGCCTTTAGTGATAAAAACTTGGCTCCTGTGTGTTTGCTGCATCATTGCATGCTGACATCATCAAGAAGCTGCACCGTCTCTGAAACCGAGCTACTCCGAGCAGAAATTATCCAGGAGGGTGTGGGGGATATGTCAAGTAGCTTTACTGAAACACTCATATCGTTCCTGGAAGTCAGCTCTGCTGGCACTTCCTTTAACAAAGGCATTCAAGTCAGTGTGAGATATTTCTTTGTAAATGTGCAGAGTTAAAGTTTCTTTTTGATAAATTCTTTTTCAGCTTCTCATTCAAAGCCATAGGCCAGAAACTTAGTGTACACAATGTTATGTACATGTTATGGAAATCACACATTGCAAATTGCCTTTTTTGGGGGGTAGATCTTTTGTAGACTATTACACATCTGACTCCTTTATTGTTCAGTGTTGGTAATTGAAGAGGACCTACCTTCCAAGTACATTCATCCCTGGTGTTAAATCAAAATCATGTAATTCCAGTGTCAAGTGCCCAAGGGTAATAGGAAGCACCAGCACAAAATTGCATGCAATATGTGAACAAACTGATTTTGGATGCTAAAAACCTCTCGTTGTTTTTAGGGCTTTTCTGATGTCAACCTCTGGCGGGGCTTTCTTCTTTTGTGAAACTGTGGTTTAAAAAGACCATTGACTGTTAGGAGAATTCTACTTACAGACATTAAATGCCTTATGAATGAATAGAACAAGTTGACAGTGTAGACTGTTTGTTGGATAATATAGAAAATATTTATTTCTTAATATGATAATAAATCTAATATAGTTTGACTTTGTTTTTCTTCACACAAATATAGGATATTTAAAGAAGTTCTTCATGTATCCCCCAGGTCTTCTATCTGCCTCAGAATATGGCCTGTGTAGGTATGGATTCCCCAGCAGTGGATGATGACATTTGCATCCTTAAACATGAGACAGCCTACACCACTGCTGCTGAGAGTCCTGTGTCGGTGTGTGCCGGTGACGAATCGGTCGCCTCCCACTTTGCCCTGGTCACGGCATACGAGGACATCAAAAAGAGGCTGAGAGAGACAGAGCGAGACAATGCCCTGCTGAAGAAGAGAGTGAAGCAGCTTGAAGACAAGGTATAGATGGAAGAATAGAGTAGGAAAGAGTAGGAGGATGGCACAACAAAGGGAAGATGGGGATAGAAAAGAGAGAGAGAGACAAAATTTAAGAACATAGAGCTTATCATGCTGTCTAAACAACCAGAGAGCAATGTTTACAAAGGGTGACCTATGAACAAAGATGAACGATTTTTCTATTGTGCACGACTTCAGAATGATGGACAAACACAAAATACTAATACCTCACTGCAAAAAAAAAAAAAAAAAAAGGAAAAATAACCTCTTGGAGTGTATGCATGTCAGCATCATTAATATTGTTTGTCTGTTGTCAAAACAGAAAAAACCCAACAATGAGAAATAAATGTGCTCTGTTTAAAAAAGAAAGGAGGTCTGGAGAAGTGTGTCTTTGGCAAACACTGTGCTCATATTCAGCAGAGAAGAAGGCTCTTGAAATTGGAATTAAGAACAAAGGATCCAGTAAACGGATATAGTGAGAGAGTGAGTTATTTGAACAGCAAAGGTCTTAATGCCGATTGCAGACCGAAGCGAAAGTTGGGCACAACATGTGGGCAGAGCACGAGCTTGTTTGTTTAAAATCTGTCAGTTTTAGTTTTATGTGCTGCAGCACTTGGTCCATCAAGATAGGATGTGGTGGGAGGAAAGTGACTTCCTACCGCAACATTTTAAATTGAACATTTTTTTTTCTCCTCTACTTTCTTCTCTGTTATTTCTTCTTTCACCACTGTAGCTTTTCAGGCCAGATGCTCATTCATCAGAGGGGCCCCAGTACGTGAACAAGGCCTTCAGTGCTTACCGAGGTATCTATATAGAGAAGGAGGACCTGCAGATGGAGCTTAACAAACTGGTGCGTTTTACTGATTAATCTGAACATCTCATAAACTAACAGTGCAGCCAAGCTTAAAGGCTTAATGTCTTCCAAACCTGACAGTAGCTTATTTTCAAGTATAAGGATAATAAAGAGAGTTTGGTTTTTTTTGCCCACCTGGGACTGCAAAAGTAAGAGTTTGAAACATTGTTTTAAATACACTGACTCTACCTTCATGCTCTTTGGCTCACTGTCTGTTTTGTTTTTTTGTTTTTTTTCCTCTTTCAGAAAAGGGAGACAAGTGAGAGAGAAAGGATTCTGATGGAGCAGCTTCACACAAAAGAGGTGGAGCTGCTTCAGCTGAGGACAGAAATGGACACCAGCCAAGGTACAGGTAGAGTACACAGGCCTGCTGTCTCTGAACTGTTCAGTGGAAATGGTTCTGTCCTCTGATGAAACAGATAGTGGACATTTAGAGCACATGAGATTTGGATGAAATACAAGGAAAAGAATCCTGTTCCTGAATTTTAATCATATTAAATTCAAGGACTGAAATTGTTTGATAATTAGCTATGTCGGACAATCGAAGTAATAATCTACTCTTTAAAATATCTCCATCCATCCATTTTCATGAGTTAAACCATGGTAGCAGTAGAGTATTTGAGCTAGTTCAGACGTCCCTCTCTCCCACATGTTTTCAGACCATAGAAACTATATAATCTCTTCTATGAGCTCTTGGTCTACCTTGGGATCACCTACTAGTTGGGTGTGCCCATTATACCTCAAAGCGACAACCTGATGAGAAGTTTGAAAAATCTCAGCTGGCACCTGTTTGGAGTAGAGTTGCAGATACTCCAGTCTGTTCTCGATCTGGATGTCCCACCTGCTTAACCAGCCACCCTTCAGAGGAAAGTAACTTCTCTTATTCTGTAACGGAAGCTTGCGGCCATTAAAGCGCGTTAACAGTCATTCATATTCCAGCATCCCCTGCATTACATCTGACACAGCACCAGCCCTTCTGTCAATCTATTTTATGCTCAGTCATGAACATGGCACGGTTCTCAGATTCTTTACTCAAACACCAGTTGTTTTGGTAGCCTCTTATCCTACCCACTTCACACTGAAAACCATTGCAGACAATGTCGAAGGTCTGACGAAACCAGCAAAATCGTATCATTTTCAAATAATGGGAACTAATTGTAATATCCCAAAGGGTACACTTACATCCTCCTAAAGCTGAGAGGAACCCTTGACATCCAGAATGTGATTAGTAACAGAGTAACAATTACATTTATTTCAACACTTTTAT